ATATCTGTTTGCATTATTGGTATATCAGTAAATTAGTTGAATTCAATGTATCATATCTGTTTGTATTATTGGTATATCAGTAAATTAGTTGAATTCAATGTATCATATCTGTTTGTATTATTGGTATATCAGTAAATTAGTTGAATTCAATGTATCATATCTGTTTGAATTATTGGTATATTAGTAAATTGTTGAATTCAATGTATCATATCTGTTTGTATTATTAGTATATCAGTAAATTAGTTGAATTCAATGTATCATATCTGTTTGCATTATTGGTATATCAGTAAATTAGTTGAATTCAATGTATCATATCTGCTTGTATTATTGGTATATTAGTAAATTAGTTGAATTCAATGTATCATATCTGTTTGTATTATTGGTATATCAGTAAATTAGTTGAATTCAGTGTATCATATCTGTTTGTATTATTGATTTATCAGTAAATTATAATTGAACTTAAGGGATGGACAAAGAAGATGCTTTGATTGTCTTTGAAGAACATATCCGACAGTTGGAACAAGAGGAGGAGGAAGAGAAAGAACGTGAAAGGAAGAGGACAAAGAGACAACAGCGAAAGAATAGGGAAGCTTTTATTGTACGTAAACATTTATAGCCAGTTGAAAATAGAGGATTGAACTTTTTAATGTTAAGTAGAAACTAGCCTCAATAATAATGTATACATGATTAAACATTAATCTTTAGAAGCTGTACAGACAATAGAAGAATGTTAGCTATAATAAGTTCATAATTATTAGCCATTTGTCTTTAATCTGTGAGTTTCAATAATTTAGTATAATGTAAGTTTTACTGGACTTTATGTAACAGTAAGATGTTGAATATCATCAGACAGTTATCTTCAACTGTGGGTGTTACGCTGAAGTAGTTTTATGTTTGAGATGTTTCTTACGTTACATATATATATACTGCTTATAGGAACTTCTGACAGAGCTCCATGAACAAGGGAAGCTCACCTCGATGTCTCTCTGGGTAGAACTGTATTCTGTGATAAGTGCTGATCCTCGTTTTGGTTGTATGCTAGGACAGCCTGGTAAGTCCGTTGTTTGGTTTCAACTATCGTGTACAGAAAGGCAGCCTGGTAAGTCCGTTGTTTGGTTTCGACTATCATGTACAGAAAGACAGCCTGGTAAGTCCGTTGTTTGGTTTCAACTATTGTGTACAGAAAGACAGCCTGGTAAGTCCATTGTTTGGTTTCAACTATTGTGTACAGAAAGGCAGCCTGGTAAGTCCGTTGTTTGGTTTCAACTATCGTGTACAGAAAAACAGCCTTGGTAAGTCCGTTGTTTGGTTTCAACTATCGTGTACAGAAAGACAGCCTGGTAAGTCCATTATTTGGTTTCGACTATCGTGTACAAAAAGGCAGTCTGGTAAGTCCATTGTTTGGTTTCAACTATCGTGTACAGAAAGGCAGCCTGGTAAGTCCATTGTTTGGTTCCAACTATTGTGTACAGAAAGACAGCCTGGTAAGTCCATTGTTTGGTTTAAACTGTCATGTACAGAAAGACAGCCTGGTAAGTCCATTGTTTGGTTTCAACTATTGTGTACAGAAAGACAGCCCGGTAAGTCCATTGTTTGGTTTCAACTATCGTGTACAGAAAGACAGCCCGGTAAGTCCATTGTTTGGTTTCAACTATCGTGTACAGAAAGACAGCCTGGTAAGTCTACAGCCTGATGTAGTTACTGTCTATGATATGACTGTCACCAGTTCGTTGTTAGTTTTGGTTTGAATACTGCACATAAACAAGTGACCATTATCATGACTAAGATCATTAATAGTGTGTAGTTTATTTGTTGCTGAACTAGAAAAATAGTCTTGATTTTAAATGTACAATTTTTGTTTCTCTGTTAAAAGAGTGCAAACATAATTAATTTATGAAGGAACTTCTAATTAGATAAGTTTAAATTTATTATTTCATCATATGAATGTTCTATTTCTTTAATAATTACTTATTAATGTATCAATAAAAGACATGTCATAAAAAACTATCATTAAACAAGTGTTTGTTTCCATTTTCATTGAAAATATTCTTTATTTCTGAATTGTTCTTCTTTGTATTTTGATAGTTGTTATGTAAATGTTTTGGCCTCAAATGTTCTTTGTATTTTGATAGTTGTTATGTAAATGTTTTAGCTTCAAATGTTCTTCTTTGTATTTTAATAGTTGTTATGTAAATGTTTTGGCTTCAAATGAGATTTTTATTTCAGGTTCAACACCTCTTGATCTCTTCAAGTTTTTTGTAGAAGAGTTAAAGGCTAGATTTCACGATGAAAAGAAAATAATTAAAGAAATACTGAAAGTAAGGTCAACATATCAGTATTCAAGACAAATGTAAAGCATTGAAATATTTAACTTTCTGACTTTTAGAAATGTATGTAATTCCTAGTACATAGTAGGTAATATGCTTGTACTCTTTCTGCCATGTGAACTTACTAATTCTTGAAGTATTTTAAGTAACTACAAATTTCATTAATTTTCTCAACACGGCCTTCGTTAATTTGACTGACCATGTGACCTCTGTATGCTCGTTTAAAGTCTTTATACATTTGATACTACTAACTTTTAATATAGTATGTATATCTTCACAAAATTTGGCAGTCTTTCGCTTACAAAAAGACATTTTTTTAGTGAAGTATTTTAAATAAACAAAAACAAAATATGTCCATGAATATATCAAGTATTTGTTTTGAATAGTCTGTGTCCAAAGTGATTTTTTATGTTAAAATTAATAATAATTTCTTCATCTTAAAAATCTCAAATTTCATTTGTATAATCTCTAAAACTTCCTAAATACATTTCAAATGATTGTTTTCAGTAAAACTTTATATTTCGTTTGTTATTTTTTTCAACCTTAACTCTATACAAGGTTGATCAATTTGACTGACCACGTAACCACTAAAACAAAATCGAAATAAACCTAAATTACCCGCTTATCCTAAGTAGCTATAAACTCTTAACAATATACATCTATTTATAATTAAACATTTTTGTTTTATTGCCCTTTGAACTGTCTCTAACTACTATTCATCCAAGCTAGTCCTTACCTTTCGTGTGGGAACAAAACCTATACTACAAGTGAAATTGATGATTATCTGTTCAGTAAACAATGTAATATAATATGTCATTTGATAAATGAAAACCTTGGCTTTCAATTGATTATAGATATATAATTAAACATAAGAGAGAGAACTATTAACAAATCCTGAAAGAGAGAATGTGACAGGTCTGATTTTCTATTTGATGGCTCCGTAACCAAACAAAATTGAAGTCTATAAAAATTATGGTTTGTCTGAGCAATAACGATTTTATAGTGAATAATTTATGTTAAATTTCATATTTATTGGAGAGATAATGAATAAAGTAGAGAAGAGGAAATGCCTAGATAAAATGTGTCACACTAGGGCAAATATTGCCTTATAAAATTAAAAACTTAAAACTTGTATATTACTAAGATATGAATTATTTGCTAAGATTTTATACTATACTAGTTGGTATAACATAAATAAAATTAAATTTCATAACATTTTGACTGTAAGTCACTAGCACCTTGTGACATGCGCAGTAAATGATGCCTGGATAGATAATTTTAATTGTGTACTTAGCAAGAATTTTTAAAGTCTACCTTTACAAAGATTTCTAATGGAGTGCATGTGCAGTAGTTTCTACCAATGCTCCCTCACAAAGGTTAAGAATGTGTTTTTACAAGTTCATACCCAAAAGTTTTTCTAAGACCACACCTCCACAAGTATTAATAAGACTAACACCTCCACAAGTATTAATAAGACTAACACCTCCACAAGTATTAATAAGACTAACACCTCT